CCAGCAACCCGCCCTCCGTGAGGGGGCAAAAGGCGCGCGGGTTCGCGCGGCCGGAGGGAGTCCGGGCCGCGCTCCGTCCCGCCAGAGCCGACCGGACAGACGGCGCCTTGTGCCTCGCCGCCCTCCCGGCGCCCAACCAAAGGGCGCATTGCACCCGCCGACGCGGCAGCGCCACTCACGGCGCAAGCGCCAAAGCCACGGCGCAGCGGGTGGGCCTCATGCGCCGACACAAGCACATGAAAAAATAGGCGAGCCTCTCCCCGCCGTGCCTCCTCCCGAGAGAGAAAAGTTAACCCCAAGAAACATAAAAAGAGGGAGAATAGAGAGGAAAATGGAGACACCACTCGGCGGTGCAGGCAACAAGAAGACAGAAGGCCACTGGCTCAGCCAAGTGTGCGGCAGGCGCAACATGTGGACTCGTGCAGAAAACCGAAGAAGCAAAAAGAAAATAAAATAAAAATAACTACACATAACCGCACGGATGTGAAAGAAAGAAGGAAAGAAGGGAAAACAGAACGTAAGAACCGCATCCTTTTTCACTGCTTTCTTTTCATTATAACGAGTGTCACTAGAGTAGCAGCAAAAGAGAAAAAAAAACAAAAAAAAGCTTTTCACTTCCTGAGAATGGAATATTCTTTTCCTTCGCAATCCGGTCGGTGGAGCGCAAGAAGCCGTCCTCCACCGGGAATTACTTTGCCTGAAGCGGCCTCACGGGCACGGCCCAACTCGAGATGGTGCTCGTCGAGCAGCTGGCACGCTCACGCTCGGTAGTCCAGGAGTGGTACTCGTGGCCGCCGACAGGCTGATCGAACGGTGTCATCTGAAGCTCCTCAGCCGTCACCTGCACAAAGCTGCTGCCATCAAAGGAGGGCGTCCTGGGTGTCGCCGAGCTGCAGTTGTTGGCCGAACACGTTGTATTCATCTGGCTTCGCGGAAGGAAGGAGTCCAGCGAACTCCAGCTGTTCACGCCCGTGAAGCGGTCGCTGCCGAGTTCGAGATCGTTGTCCTCATCGCCAGCCGCGGAGGTCGGGGTCCAATCAAATATCAGGAGGACCGCCGCCTCTGCCAAAGCGTCCAGCAGGTCAACCGCAAACATGTCTCTCGAGTGGGTTTTTCACACTTCCGCTTTTCTTCACTCACTCACTCACTCACTCACTTGCGCACACGCAGGCAGGGTAACTAACTGAACTGGCGCTACCTCGGCTTTGTGCGGCCTTCCCCTCCCTGCTTTCGTAACTTGCCTCTGACTGCGCCTCCCTTGCCGCACCCCGGACTGAATATAAAAAAAAAACGTATCAATATATATATATATATAAGCGTATGTGTATATACCACGACGCAACGCCACCACTGGGACAATCGCGTCAGGCGAGCACGAATATGCAACAAACGAACGACAGGGGAGGGGGGGGCCTATTCCTCTCGGCAATATTCTAGACGGGAGGGGGGCACGAAAACAAACAAACAAAAAACTTCGCAGTAGGTGCGCTTTATGTACTATCCCTAAGGGCCACTGCAGCAAAAAAAAAAAAGAGAAAAGAGAAAAGAGAGAGAGAGAGACGAGGAAGACACGGTCTAGCCCACAGTGGAGGGGAGAAGAGAAGCAAACGGCGGGGCTGCCGGGACAAATACGACTGCGTCCGGACAGGGCAAAGGGAAATTTAGTTCCGCGCCGAGGATGGAGGCGCCACCGCATCAGACGAAGCACCCGTGCGCCCGTGCCTCCACAGGCGGGCATCGCGTGCGTCAGAGCAATGCGTCATTGGAAAATAAAAGAAACAAATGCCGAGAAGGAAAGAGAAAGAGAAAGAGAAAGAAGAGAGAGAGAAGGGTCGTTGTGGTGCGGCACCCCTACGCCTCCACGGGGGCCGCCGCGCCGGATGCGGCCCCGGCAGCCTCCCGCTGCTCCAGCACCTCCTCCAGCACCCTCAGCAGCTTCCGGTGTTGGGGGATCATCAGTTTGTTCTCCGCCGAGTTGAATACGGCGAGGCGGTTGGAGGTGAGCTCCCGCTCAATCGCCTTCAGGCGGGCCATGGAAACCATCATCCCACACTCGTCGAAGTTCTCCTGATGCATACTCATTGGGATGAAGACGTTCTCCCCGGAGGCCTCCTGGCGACTGATCATGCACCGCAGCAGCTCGCTGAAGGAGGCGGGGAGACTAAACAAAATGCGCCGGATCGTATCGTGAAGGGGCAAAGAGGCGCCTGCCAAAATGGCCCCGCCGCGATTGGCGTACCGGTTGAACCGCCCGCCCCCCGCCGAGAAGGCCTCCAACTCAGTGAGCAAAGACAGGCTGCTAATGCCCGCCATCTCATGCAAGCGTGGGAGCAGCATCGAGCGGAGGTGAACACACGTCATACGGAACACGTCCAGCAAACCCGCGGCACTTGACAACAGCCAGTCAGGATCATCAAAGGAGCAAAGCAGGACAACACGATACGGGAACTCCCGTCCAATTGCTTGGAGCTCGAGCAGGGCCGGTGCATCCAGTTGATCCACGCCATGCAAGAGAATAATTGTGACTGGCCCAGCACCCCGCAGCGAGGGTGTCGTGGCCGGCAGAGCGGCCGAAACGAGGCCTTGCGCTGTAATCGACGGCAGCGACATCCACGCAATGCAGCTGCGAAGCGGGGCACGACACGCAAGTCGCAGGGACCGCATAACCTCCGGGGAAGAGACGGTGATCCGCGGCGGACGCGGTCGTCGGCCCTCACGCGAACGCAGCGAGGCGACTTCGTCGGCGTTGGCGTCCTCGCCCAGAGCATCTTCACGGAGACGCTTCACACCGCATCCCTCGCGCAGCGGCACGTCATAGCTCCAGTCGGACTGCTCACGAAGCCAGTGCCGTCGCGACCAGACACACACCTTCTCCTCCATTCCCGCCTCCTGATGCGGCAGCGGCTGCCCCCCAACCGGTCGTTCCTTCTGCGCCTGGCGCTGCCGGTGCAACGGGTGTTTGGCCGGCAAAGGCAACTTTGCCTCTTCCTCTGCGGCCTCCTCCCCGCGCACGAGGAGGATGGAACGCTCCCGCCGCCTCACAAGGGGGGCGGGGGAGTCGAGAGGCACACACCCAGCCGCCTCACGCACCAGCGGTGTTTCCCCCAAGTGTGGTTGCTCAAGAAGCAGCCGGTTTTTCTCGGCCGAGGAATCCGTGCAGGGCTTACGGGACTCACTTCGTCCCGCGTCTCGTGCGCGGCTCCGCAGCGGAGTGCGGTACGATTGGCTCCGAGAGGAGTCGCTCGGGGGCGAGTCCACCATGTAATACTCCTCCGTCCCCTCCTGTCCTTTGTCGTGTTGCTGGTCTCGCGCAGGAGCCTTGGAACGGGCGTCAGGCGCCAGCGGCTCACAGTGGGAGTCCCGGGCAAAGAAACTCCGCAGCAGCGCCTGCTCCGACCCCTGTTGCCGCTGCCGGAGTTGCTTCCCAAGCTCGCGCAGCTGGTGCACGATGCGGGCGGCGGAGGCGCAGTAGCCGTCCAGCACTGCAACCCCGTGGTGACGCAGCTCGGCGCACTGCGAAACATGCTGAAGGAAGAAGTGCTTGGAGGCAATGCCGTACACGGCCACGGAGCGGCCCTGCAGCAGGTAGTCCAGCGTCAAAAGCAGCTCCTCACACCGCAGCCCATGGGGCCACGTCAAGGAAGAAGGGCATTCCACCTTTTCCTCGGGAGTTGCGGCCCCATTCACTTGCGCCTCGCGCGGCCCATCCCTGCGGTCCTCGTCTTCGCCCAGAACCGCATTGCTAACTTCGTTGCTCGTGTTACCGTCGACCGCCGACTCGGCGACTGCGTCGGTGCCCGCCGCTGTCGGTTGCTGCGCCCCGCCTGGGCCCCCCCGGTTCGGCCACGCAAAGGGGCCAGCAGGCGCGCTTCGCAGTCGCGCCGCAATCGCCTCTGCGCGGAGCAGGCCTCGCACGGGATCGCCGGTGGCAACGCGGTGGAGCACGTCCACCACCAAGAGCGGACGCACTACGTGGCGGGGGAGTTCCTTTCCCGCCCTCAGCAGCCCTTGCCGCAACTGCGGCTGCGGCTCACTCTCCTCCGCAGCCAACGCTTCTGCCGTTGCCACCTGCAGCTTCGTCGTGGCCTTGCGGAAGATGTCGTCCGTGAGGTACAGGGCCAGGGCGTGCACCTGGTGCAGCCCGTAGACCCCGTACGGCACACCGACGCGAAAGCGCCGCGAGGGAAGCCCCGGAAGCGACGGCGGGCAGCGAAGGACCTGCAGCGGCGTAATCGTCTCGTCCCCCACAAACGCGGGATGGGCCTCACCCAGGCGCCGATTCACCGCGCACCACACGCAGGATACCTCCATTCGAGGATTCTGCACGGAGAAGACGAAACTTGCGCCCTCCTCGCAGAACGGTCGCCGCCCCAGCAGGCCGCTCCCGATGACGTCGTCGTCGTCGTCGCCGGCGGGTGCAAATTGTCTTGGTGGTCCCTCGGCGGCGTGAAAATGAGCCACAAGCGGCGCCTGTGAGAGCGCACGCTTATCCCGCTGTTCCTTCATTGTGTAGTACCGCTGCACCACATCCACGTCGTACGCCACCGAAGTCCCATGCTGAAGCCGACGCGCCGGCCGTGGCCCCTCGCAGGTCCATTCGTGCACAGGCACCTGCTCCCGCAGCAGCGCCCCTGTGCGACACAGGAAGCAACGGGGCTGACTGAAGTCATCATCCCCCGCCGTGCCTTGCCGCCGCGCATCCTCGTCCCCCGACAAACGCGCCTCCGCCTCCCCGTTCCCCGCCTGCGGCCCGAGGGGACCGCTTCCAGCCGCGGCCGACGCATCGCGGGACGGGAACAGGAGCGCCGTGGGCACGGCGTTGTAACAGCGGGCACACACCGTGTAGGCGCAGAAGGTGCAGTGATACGCCTCCGCCGCACGGTAGCGCGGCGGGCCGGTGCTCTCCTCGCACGGCACCCACTGCATCTTCTGCAGCACGGCGAGCCATTCCTCTCGCTTCATGCATTCAGCAGCGTGCGCTGCCGCCACCCGCCACCCGCTCCTTTGCTTCCTCCGTGCGCCACGAGGCGGCCAAGCAGAGAAAATACAGTGAGAAAAGCGAAACAAAAAAAAAGAAGAGAGAGAGAAAAAAAAGGCGGATCCAAAACGTAAACACACGAGCATAAAAGCGAAAAAAGCAAAATACAAACGAACAAACAAACCGCATTTTAGTGCGGCAGCTTAGCCACGCCGCCGCAATACCACCGCCCTCCCATACTTCCCTCTCACCGCCGAGTTTCCACTAGCTGACGGCTTTGGCGCCTTGCAGCGAGGAGGGGAAGGGGGACAAAAAGAGAGCGAAAAAAAAGGAGAAAACACTGCCGCAGCAACCGCCGAATTTGTTCCGTTTTTCTCCAGTTTTTGTTTTCCCCCTTCTTTTTTTTTTCTCATTTTTTTTTTACTTCTCCAAAGCACCGCCAGTTTTACCGAGCGAGAAAGAACACAACCTCGGGCCGTTGGTAAGGACACGCGGTGGGAAACACAACGCCAGCCAGATGCGGAGCGAGGGGGTGGCGGCAGACGCAGGGGTTCATTCACGGCGCAAAGGACGGTGCAGTAGATGCGGCCTCCCCACCACCGCCCTTCTTCCTTCCTTCCTTCCTTCGTTACTTCATTTATTTACCTCGCCCCCGCACCATGCACCAGACCCCACACCTCACTCCAATGTGCTGCTGTCACCCCTGTCGCGTAGCCCGGCATGTTGCCATTGTTGGCACTTTCGCTTTTACCTGCTTGCCTGCCCATCTCTTTCTCTTTCTCTCTCTTGCCCTCCTCCTCTTTCCCACCGCTTCCTCTTCCTCCTCTTCCTCAGAGCGCCCTGCCCGTCCTCTGCTGCATCTGCGTGACGGCGTCAAACCGGGGCGCCGCGGCAGCACAGCCTATGTAAGACACCGTAGGGACGGTCGCGCAGGTGTACTTCGCCAGGGTGTCGCGGAAGACGGCCGGAGTCACCGCATCCACGCGCTCAAACACCTCTCGCATCGGCACGCGGTGACCGAAGTGAATCATCTGCCGCCCCAAATCCTCCGCGCTATTCGTCGTGCTGTCCCGCATCATCATGACGGACGCCTTGAACTCGCTCTTGGCCCCCTCTAGTATGTTCGCGTCCACGGCGGTGGTCGCTAACTCATTTATCGTCCGCATGAGGTAGTCGAGCAGCACGTCTTGGCTTTCGTCCCGAGGGGAGGCACGCGGGCCGGCGGGGGGCACGGGCGTGGTGATGAGCTGGTAGCCAAGCAAGCTGGTCTCCTCGTAGGGTGTGTAAAAGGGACGCATTTGCACAATGTTTGGCAGCTTCTCCCAGGGAAGTTTGGGGTTCAGGTGCTGGTACGCAAACTGGTCGTGCTGCCCCTCACGGAACTGCCCGATAACGTTGTGTACTAGCTGCAGCGCGTAGCTGTCTGGGTGCGAGGCGCCACAGATAGGGTAGGCAACAGCCGTATTCGCCGTTGCCATCTGCTCATTCCACATCACCGTGGATCCGCCACGGTACAGGGCCTGAAGCGGTGGTCGGTTGTTGGTCGTGGGGAGATCGCCGAAAAACTTCTCGGCGAGTCGGTGAGCCTCATCGGGGTGAATGCCGCCGGAGGAGACGAAAGACATACGGGGGCCCGTGTAGTGCACCCGCACAAAATCCATGATCATCTCCCGATTGATGTTCTTTGCGATGTTGTCCACGGGGCCGAGTATGGTGAGGGGAAGGCCGCTGGACTGAGGGTCGTACGCCGCCTGGTGCAGGTTGTCCATGAGCACCTCATCCACGAGCTCCTCCACCTCCCGCATCTCGGCCAGAATCGTTGGCCGCTCCAACTCCAAGTCCCGCGGGTCGTAGCGCCCGTTCTTGAGCAGGTCCGACACCACGTCAATCATCCTCTCCACGTCCTCGTTGAAGGACTTCACGTAGTACGCCGTGCGGTCACGCGAGGTGTAGGCGTTGAAGTGGGCCCCGCTTTGCTCAAAGAGGTCCTCCACCGCCCGCTTGGAGTACTTCTGCGTGCCCTTGAAGTTCATGTGCTCCAGGAAGTGGGCGACCCCGTTGTTCTCCGGCCCCTCAAAGCGGCTCCCCGCGTCAATCCAGACGCCGACGGTGGCGAACTGGCAGCTGGGGAAATACTCCGTCGCCACCCGACAGCCGTTTGGCAGCGCGGAGTACACGACGGGCGTGCAGTGATCGATCGCGGAGGCGCAGAGGGGATCCCGCACGGTGCGGTTGGTCACAGGGACACACCGGCAAAATGAACGGCGGAGCATCGCGGCGCCGGTGCCCCACTAGTAGATGCAACAAGCAAATAAAACAGAACAAATATGCGTCGTCGAGGCTGCTCGGATTCTCGCCCCCTCCCTCGCTCCTTCCCTCCCTACTTCCCTTTTCCCCTTTACCCCCCTCAGTGCGGGATGCTGCAGCTACGGGAAGAAAAAAGGGTCCACGCGCACCGAGGCGAAAAGGCAGAGCCGAGTGCAAACCGAACAAAGCTGTAATAATAATAACACAGCCCAGTGGCGCGTACACCAGAGAGCGAGCGAGACGCAGTAGGGCACTCTTTCCCTTTTTTTTTTCTCTATCCCTCTCTCTCTCT